AGTATTAATTAGTTTAATTAATTAGTAGTGTGTGTGTGTGTGTGTGTGTGTGTGTGTGTGTGTGTGTGTGTGTGTAACCTAACCTCCCCTATTTACATTAATTCTTATGGGAAAATTGGATTTGCTTAACATCGTTTTGCTTAAAGTCGCATTTTTCAAGAACATAACTATAACTTTAAGCGAGGAGTTACTGTATTTAAACTGTGCCCATGAACCCTCACAGATACAGGTACACTGAAGATGTTTACATCCTCGCCACAACTAAAATTAGTCAAAGAAATGTACTGGGCACAGGGCTGCTCTTTTGCATTCCCTGGCCCTGAAGAGAGTACAGTATGCATAACTTATCTGAGATGAAAAGAAAAGATCTCTTAGCAGTGCTCAACAGTTACGTAACAAGCTAATTAAGTAGCTATGTTGATGGATTTAAAACCAAGTTTGGCCCTGGTCAGATGTGGATAAGAGTAGGGAAACTTTAGGATGGATAAGTGAGGGAGAAGCAGTAAGCAATCCTTAAGTAATGTAGAGGACAACAAGGAGATGGGGAGGGAATAAGGAGTTCTCAATACAGGTACACTTTCACCTGCCTTGAAGTGGGAACTGCAAGCGCTCTGATATTATAAAGATGTCACAGTTCTACATATCTTAGGCATTCATGATCTGCTTTTTACCATCGTATCTAGATACCAAACACAACAATTGAAGGAATATTCTTCTGTGAATGAACCATTTTTCTGCCCCCCACCCAAGTACAAGTCTCTTATTGGATGTACATTTGGTAGGTTTTTAAAGGGAAGTGAACAGTTTTCCTTTTCTCCCCTGCCCCAGAACTGAATTTTCTACCAGCAAGTTATTTTGCAACTTTTTGAAACAATAAGCTCTGACATATATGTCTCTTACTGTAAAAGCACAAGTATTTTACACTGTGAAAGGAATTGCTCTTTGTTACAGAACTGTGCTACGTGAATGAGTATGGGTTCTTTTCACTGACTGCAGGAGGTTCTGTATTTCAAGCCCAGACCTAGAAATCATGTTACTAAATAGACTTTTAAATTACATTATTAATTTGATTTGGAAAATGGTAGCAGTTGCCTGGTCTAATACTTCCCTCTATCTTTGACATAAAAGCTGCACTCACCGTTGCCACCAAAGACATGAATATCCAGCTGTTCACAGAGGTACATCACAAATGTATTCACCTGAGGCAGGAGACCAATGAAGAATACGATAGGGAAACACAGCGTAAATACTACGGAAAAGAAAGGTGAAAAAAGTGAGTATGGAAAATCTGATATACTGCAATACTCCTCATAGTTTCTTTAAACTCTGTGATATAGTCAAACAAGATACAATCCAACATTGCTATGGCTATACTATATGGACTTTCTAAGAGTTTCCAATTATATTAGACTTCACTTTAACTTCCACCTCCAACTTAGATTAGTCACAGCATTCCAACAGTCAGAGGGATAAGTACATCTTCGCTGACTCCCAATTTAATCACCAGTGAAATCTGTGTGAGCCAGTCTAACATGACTGGACTTTTATATCACAAGCTTTTCATTTTCACATAGTAAAGATCATGGAAGAGGGTCTTCAGGTATAAAGTCTTGTAAATTTTTCACTCACTAGAATGAAGGCTCTCATGCCTTTCATCAGATCAATTGTAGAACTCCAGGGGGGAAATTCTGGCCACATTTAACTCAACTGGGCCAAAATTTCACCCTGGCTTTTATTGTGCCACCATAGGTTTGTTGAACAATCAGAAGAACCTCACTGCAACTGATAAATAAGTTTACAAATTGAAGAAGAGAAGATGTTTGTTTCTTTAATTCTAGTTTCCCTCCATCCCTGTCTCCTCCCTCCCCGTCCCCCAAGATGGAGGACAACCATTCGATTGGACATTACACATAGGTTATATATGCTTTTCCACCACAATAGAGACATCTTAAGCTCCTTCTCTCCCATCTTAGTTCAGACTATCTGTATCGAACTGTTGTAGCACTGTTCTCTGACAGACATTTGGAGTGGATTTAGACTATGAACCAGGTCCACAAGTCCCACTTGGTGGCCAAATGAGAACAGATGTCCTAGTTGAGCTCTCATTAGTCTGATGCCAGCACATGTCAATTGAAACCAATCAACTCTGAGGTTTGTCTTGCCCTGCGTCTGTGTTCTCTGGCAAACAAGTTTTACTTCTCCAGGCATGAACGAATTCTGGTGGTCTTGTGGTTCAGATCTGTGCTCTTTGCTTCTCCTTAGCAGTTTAAGTTTGCCACCAATGTACAGTTCTTTGTGGAATGCAAAACATTTTGTGAAACAGTGCCCTCAGTGTTGTTACTAGCTGCTTTGAAGGCACTTTCTCTATCTGAAATAAATTAGTGTTAATTGTTCAGAAAGAAAAGAAGAATTTAGGGGTGATGCACTGTTCACTGGGTTTTATGAGCACAATTATCAACAAGTACAAATTGCATGGGTTGAGACAAGTCTACCTGAGCAGAATATTGGAAGGAAAGGATTAAGAAGTAGATTTTTAGACAGTAGAGAGAGAGTTAAAGTACATTGAAAGCTATCTCAAAGATGGACAGAGCCTGGAGAAGATACCATTGCCAATCATGCTGACCAATATTGTCTCATTGTTTACTTGTACTCCCCAGTCTGTCTGTAGCTATCTGCTGCCTCTTGTCTTATAGAGTGTAAGCTCCCTCGGGTAGGGACCATATTTTGTTCCACATTTGCACAGTGCCTAGCACAATGAGGTCCTGGTACATGACTAGGGCTCCTACACCCTACAGTAATACAAATACAAATAATAAACACACCACCACCAACAGTGATACACTTATTTTAAATTCCTAGCGGTTTGAGAGGGGAAAATTTTCACACTCCAAAGCTCTATTATGGACACCAGAAAGCCTAAAGCTGCTCTCTCAAATGAAAGGATAGTGAACTGGGGTCAGAATGTAGTGCTGCAACACTCTGACACAGAGATCTGGACCTGAGATTTAGATAATAAAAGCCTAAAATGCCTCCATTGTGGTGAAATAGCCAACTCTAACCGATGGTTAATATAATATCCCGGTTATTGGATGTTCATGTACAAGAAAGTAACTCACCTATAACTAAGTCCCTGGCGGACAGCAGCAGCAACGGGTTGGTGAAAACCACTCCATACAACCTGAACCTTGTTGTAGATGTATTTCTGCTGCCATAATCCAACAACCATATAAGACCGCAACACAAACAGAAATAAACAGGCCTACTATAGGCTATGATACGATTATGACCCTGAAAATGATAGAAGATTTGTTTCATTACTGGATAGAAATGTGCTCTTCACATTTATAATGATAAATTCACAACCACAAATTTTAATTTTTGTCCATCCTTTTCTTAAAAGCCCTCTCCCATAGTTTGTCAACATCTCTTAAAGAATATTTAAGTACATCAAGGAGTTTTTATAATCTGTCTTATATTGCTGTAAAGACAAGGACACTTATGGCTCCAATGTTCAATGCCTTTCTAGACGAACAGATTTACCTTTATTCTTCATCAGGTTTTTAAACAACATTCCTTACTGAGATATTTAAACAACAGACTATGCTCCAAGTGTTCTTGTAAACAAAACTGAAAGATGTGTTTGTTTTTATTAGATGTATACCTCAAATTAAGAAACATTTTGTATTTATTGGTCAGATTTTGCTATTGCTAAAAAGTTAGACTGTTAGATATGTAATAAAAATACAGTAATCACCACCTACAATACTGTACATAGTTTCCTTAAGAGGCCTGATATAGTTTCTCACCTCTGGCTTAGGTCACAAGTAAAATAAACTTCTGTCACACCGATCTAATACATGCTTAATAAAATGTTCTGCTCTCAGTCTTCAACAGTAACAATCTGAACTCTTTCCATTTTCAAAAGTGCTTTATAACTAGTCCTCATAATACACCTGAGAGTTAAATAGTCACAATTTTAGAGATTGAAAAACTACAGCAAAGAGGTTGTGACTTGCCCAACTCACAGAAAGCTATAATTGGAATTAAATACTCAAATTTCCCAATCCTGTACAATAATAGAAGTCTTTCTTCCCAAAGATGGCACTTCTCCCCAAATGCTAAGGACTCAGATAAAGAGACTTAATCCTTAATGGTGGATGTGCTGGACCCACTAGGGCACTGAAATGGCATATGTATTGACTTACATGTCGAGGGGAAGAAGAATCTGGTTGAACACTCTGAAAGTAAAATGGAAAGAGAGGAACATTATTTTGGGGCCTGCTATCTTTAGAACATTATCCCAGGTGGTAACCCTGATTCAAGGTAAGATTCCAGGATCATTATATAGGTAAGATTCCAGGTGTGTCACTCCATCTGTGTATCACTGTGAAACCTAGAATGTCTGTTGAACCAGAGTAAAGCAATGGAAACAGCTTCAAGCATGGTTGAGAGCTCTTTTGGTTCAGAATATCACCAGTTGCAATCATACTGGGTTTCACTGTCTGTTACTATCCAGTTTTTAAGTTCTCGGCCATTTTGACTTTATGAATAACATCTGAGAAACAGCAAGGCACATGTCTATGCCATGCCAAGAGTCCTCGACCGTTGTGATAGAGGAAACTCAACCAACTGTCACCCTGATTCTACAGCGAATCTGCATGCAACAATTTCATTGGTTGTATGAGGGAGACTACACGGATGGTGGGTTACTTGGCCCAGGTGCTACATCTGAGACACAGCATGGGGCTTTCAGCCACTAGAAATCTGTAACCTTTGTCAGGGCCGGCTCTAGGTTTTTTGCCGCCCCAAGCAAAAAAAATTTTGGCTGCCCCCCGTCCCAGCCCTGGGCTCCTCGCCGCACCCCCCTGCCGCTCCAGCCCTGGGCTCTCTCCCCCACCACCCGCACCCCCCTGCTGCTCCAGCCCTGGGCTCTCTCCCCCCCCGCCGGGCTCTCCCCCCACACCCATCGCCCCCTACACACACCTCCTGCCGCCCCAGCCCTGGGCGCTCCTCCCCCCTCCCCCCACCTGCACCCTCCTTCCACCACAGCCCTGGGTCACTGGTAACTTGCTCCCAGGGCAGGTCATTCAGCAGGAATTTTAGATGTGCACAGAACACAGACAGGATTGGTTCCCATCTGGTTACAGAACTGCAGTAAAGTGGAACAATTTTCAGCTTGTGTGATTGGAGGATATCTGGATGCATATTATAAGACTGTCCTACATAAACGAGGAAAAGTTGAGGTGCCTTTATTATTCTTTTGTTCCACTCTTTCTTTCTGTGGGGAATTTGTCAATGCAATATCACTGTCTTCCTTTTAAACAAACAAACAAAAAGGCAATGGCTGTTGAAAATAGCAATTCCAGTCCTAATAACCACCGGGAAGCATTTCTTGCTCAATTTTATCCTACTTTTTCTACAGAAGGTTACAGTGGATCAGACACGCTGGTCTGAGGGGCACGGTAAGGGGGCTGGGGGGTTGGAGAAGGGGTAGGGGGTTCCAGGGGGGCAGTCAAGGGACAGGGAGCAGGGGGGGTTGGATGGGGCGGAGGTTCGGGGCGGGGCAGTCAGGGGCAGGGAGAAGGGGA